GTATTTTTTTTTTTTGTCATGGGGAGGGCAACTTTCGTTAGTATTGCGCAATCTATTGATCGTCAAGATCCGCCCCTAACGAACTTGAAAAAGGAATAGATAAAACGTCTTGTAATAAACATTTAGTGTTGGTTTCACCGAACTCAAGCTAACCAGTGATACAAAATTATAATAGAACAATTTTGTTTGATACAAAAAATTTTTATTATTATTATTTTCCATTTCATTGTGGCTTACAGCTGGGCCTATAGAACATAAGCTATCAAAGCGACAACCACTGAAGTCACTGATAAAGATTTGGTCAACCAAGCACATGGGAAGGGGTCTGCAAATAGTACATGGTTGAAGACATGATTAAGAAAGAAATGTAAAGGGTAGTTAAGTAAATTAATTTGTCTTAGATCAATGTCAAGTACCTATAAGGAAAAAAAAAACAAATTCAGAAAAAATATGAGAGAATTACCAATATAGTCCTGGCATAGAAAAAAGGATCTTTGGAATTAGTTGCATATGCATGGCTGGACAACAGAGAGACAGAGAGAGAGGAGGAAGAGGGGGGGGGGGGGGGGGNGGGGGGGGGGGGGGGGGGTTCTCAAAATCAAAACACATAAGAATGATGAATTATAAATTTAAACATTTTTGGTTCGAATCTTAGCAATCTTTTAAAATCAGATCATAAAAAAATTATCTATCATGAATACTCTAGTCTTGGCATAGATGGTCTGTCTTTAACCCGGTTGGAGAAAAGATTAGTCGAAGTACACATAAATTGACTCGAACATCCCTGACTGTTGAACAAAAAAAAATGTCATATTGCCAATGCAAATAACAATTTCCTAAAATCTTAGTAATCATTTCATCCATGCCTAGCTAGCCAATGTGGGATAGGAACCTCCAAAAAAATACAAAAAACCGACTCGAAAAATTACAAAACAAAAGAAATTTGAAGAGATATAAATCCTAGATACGCAACAATGACAAAGTTGTGAGGTATAGAGCACTAAATAAAAGCAAACCCACTTGCTTTAACTACATTATAAGAACTTTTCAGCTCCTAGTACCCCCAATTCAATGACTGTTCAAACAACTCAAACCCAATGGAGCAATAAGGTAGAAAAAGAGTAGGTCTGCTAGAAATATTTTTCTTGTGCTTGGAAACAGTCTCTCACATGTAAGTCCCACATGTTTGAAAATCCTCCTCTTTCAGTTGTATGAATAAAGGCATTGCATATAGGTATGGTCCATTGTCACATGGAAGACTCACATGGCTACTTGAGAAGCCATAGCCACAAGATAACAACATGATAAAGACTTAATTGTCATTTTGGTCCCTATTGCACTTTTCTCAATGCCCATTTCAGATAATTTCCATTTCAAAATAACATTCAAATGCTAAGGAGATGTTTGTTTTTTTGTTCAATGATCAGATGTGTCTAAATTAGTTTACACGTATCTCAACTTCAACCAAAAGTAAACATTAAAATACTTAAATGTCGTTACCCAATTTGATCCCCATGCAAATGTCTACTCCATGCACTAATTATGATACTCTATCTTTCACGATACGATAATTCTTTATTTTTGTCGGTGAGTTTTCTAAATCTATTAGGACTGAGTTCTTTCCACGTTTGTCAGCAAGGTATATTTGTCATGAACTATTTATATGCATGTTTGGGTAAAAGTAATGCTCTTACATATGTACATCATTAAATAGTTTTGAGAAAGATGTCGGTAGCTGTTGAATGAATTTATTTGAGACCGTCAAATTGTCTTATTAAAATCTGTCCTACTTTATATTATAGATTATATATATTCACTTAAGGTTTTAGAAAAGTAACAAACCCGGATTAAATAAACCAAAAATTATATATAAAGTTGCAAAACAAATGCTACTAACATAATTGAAAAAAAAAAAAAACCTACTTGTCTTGATAACTTATTTCCAAAAAGAAAATATGACCCAAGTGATTGTGATTGCAGTGTCCTTGTCTTAAATTTATCTCCTAGGGCTATAGAATTACCCCATTGAAGGAAATTTTTGGGAAAATGACAACTACTTGAACATGGCTAGTAATGAGGTATAGCCTTGTCACTATCAAACTGGGCCCAATTGTCTCTGTATAGGAAAGGACGGAGCACATGAGATTGGCCCAAATCGAGCCATGTTGCACAGATAATGTGCGGTTGTCCACTGTAATGAGAACAGAGCACATGAGTATGAGAAGAAGGTTGGTCCCCCTCTATGGAGCCCTAAGAGTACAAGAGTCGACGCTTTTAAAAATTTGAATGGTCAGGAAAATAGCCCATGGGCTTTTCGACTTCAATGTTGGCTGTGGGCCTCTTTTATGAGTCAGACATTGGCCCGGCTTTTCCGGTTTGTATGTTGATGTGGACCTCTTTTATGAGGGTGACACATTGGCCCAGAAAATGATAACTACATGTCTGATGACATAAACCCTTCATTTTGAGGATTATTGTGGGCCAATCTTGCAATGAATAGTCCTGTGCCCGTACCTATACAGACCATACTGTCTGAAAAAGATATTTCTTAAATGGATATTTGGATAGATTTGGTAGTGGACTTTGACATAACTAGCATACATTTTACGACTTATGTAGTGATTACAGCCTATTTGAATTTCATATATCACATATTGTATCTCGAGAAACTACACGTATAAAGTACATGTATAGGGATACAAATCGGGTGGGTTGGGTAGGTTAAAAAATTGTTGGCCCCGACCCTCTTTTTGAGACAGACCCATCCTAATACTGTCCAAAACACACATCATTTGATAGCATGAAGCCCACATTCCTTACCAAGCCCCTTCAACATCATTTTGGGCCCTCATTGGATATTATATAAATCAATGATTTGGTTAATTATGAATGATATGTTATGAGACCGTGTAAATAGAACTCGGGCAAGGCTAAAAACTGCAGCAAGACCACCAAACCAGTCCCTCAACAGAATCAGAATAACGTTCAACAAGTCGAAGCCACGAAGCCACACAAGCGCCACCAGATTACAGCCAGTTTCTCTACCGAATCAGAGGGCAGATACCCCAAGGATCAAAAGGTATATGCGTGAGACAAAATCTACTAATTCAATCTATTTCTTAATTTATTCGTTCACTAATATACAATTGGCTCCTAATTCAAAAGTTCCTTCTTCAGTCACCACCCACCCTGCAAGACATGTCAATAACCTTAACTGGTAGGCGACGCCTCGTCCGTGCCTCCACCAAGCCCTTGTCTAACTCTCGGCCTCAGCTGGCTTAAACTCCATGGCTTACCGATACCAAGGCTGTCCCGCTCATCCAAAGCCAACGCTGCTTTTCACCCCAGCAAACTACACTGTCACACCAGTTCAAAAGACAGTTACAGACCATTCCCATGCGAGGCCAAACCATGGCAATCATCTAGCCAAAATTAACTCGACACAATTGCATCCAGCAGTCAATCAAAAAAATCTCACCAACGAATTAGTGAAGCCAAATTCCAGAAAACAGAGAGAAATGACAACGTGATTACATTGCATCAGAAACAATATGCTGAAAGGAAACGCATGTATCCAATCTTTGTCATGGCACATAATTAACCACATTTTCCACTAAATTAAGACTACAACATCATCGAACCACCTACTCTGATTCATCAGCTTCAGACTTGCAATCTCAGACAACTCCAATGATAAATCAATTGGAGAATTTGTCTGCAGTTATGTACAGAATTTTCATCATCATTTCATTGCAGGGCCTGTGCTGGGTTCGAGGACCCAGCTGAACCCTGATCAACTGACCCAGTAAATAATTGGGGCAAATATGATCCACTTTTCCTTGGCTTCCCCGGGAATTCCTTGCCTGAATGACCCTTCAAGGAAAGATTCTTTTTCAGGCGATTCCGATTGAGTAACAACATATAATTGCGAGGCGGTGCACGCAGAGCCCCTTCAACACAATCACCCACCTGAGCACAACCCCATGGCCTAGATGGTCCATCCTCACTAAATGGTTTATGCATAGGAATAACATTCCCCAACTTGGAAATCACTCGCAGCTCGGGGGACCTCTCCCCTTCGGATATCAGACAGAGTGGGCAGGGAGGGTCATTTTTGCAAGTCTTTGGTGTTGTTTGCTCCAAGCATTCAGCATGGAAAACATGACAGCACGAAAGAACTCCAGCAATTGGCATATCGCCACTTCTCACAATTCGACGAGAACTCCAAGGTGATCTCTGGGAAAGAAACCTCTTACACAATCCGCATGTGAAAACATCAGATGGATTGCATGATTGACCAAAAAGATCAGATTCAAATGACTCAGAAACATCTTTGAACTCAATACTGCCACTAGCACTGCTCAAGCGATTTTTCTCTCTATGTGGAGTCGTGGCATCGAACTCTGAAAGACCAATGGCTGTGGTGTCAGAAGCTTCCCTTGTAGGTGCTTCGGACGGAAAGCACACTGGATGAACAGGTTTCGACATAAAGCAACGCCGACTTGAAAAGTGACGATTAGGGGAATGAGACTTGACCATTGGCTCATAGCCACTACTGTCCGATCGAGATGAAGTAGAGCCTCTGCTATCCTGAGCTGCAGATGTTCCCTGCCCACAAAAAAAAAAAAAAAAACCATTTCAGCAGTGCGTTGGATTGTAGGGAGACACTTCCCAACAGAATGTGATTGCAAAGACAAGAACACGATACCTCCATTGTTGGTGAAAAGGATAATGGCCCCAGACCTGTATGTAGCAACCATGTAATGAAAATATTAGCAGATGCAAATGATAATGCTATTTGAAGCACCAATGGCAACATTTTCAAAATTTAACACAGTTCAATAGGAAAAGTTATTCTATTTCTCTGATGATTCAAAAACTGGACAGACATGGAAACATCACAGATTCACAATTACTAAACATCATAAATTATATCACAACCTATAATGTCCAGACATCAAATACTGAAACCTCAATATAACTAAGCCATTTTCTCCTAAAGCCCCAAATACAAACACAAATATCTATGAATGCATCAGTGCATAAGTTCCCAGAAGCTGATGCATACATTTCAATAAGATGGAGACAAAATAAGTCATGGTAGCAAATACATGTGGCAGGGGCCCAAATTGTGAATATATACATTAAACTATGGCCAAAAATGAACAGGAATTGGGTCCTTAAAAATCCTCTGGAATTTTGAAGTTCAATTTTTAAAACCCTCTAATTTATTTACATTCAGCCCTTAAAAAGAACAGGAATGTAGAACTGGGACATACTGATGCAAAAAAATGGCAAATGCAGCACAGATGAAAACAAAGAGATGCCCAAAATGAGAAATATTTAGGATGAGCTTGTCAACTCCATGCTGGAATACTCACAATTAATCACAATAATCTTCACAAATAGATCAAAGGACGCCAAAAAAAAAATTGATAAAGCAGTTCTCACATATACTGTACATTTTACACATGTTACGGCTCCTTAACAGATTAAAGAAGACACGCACATCAACAATTGTTTTTCTCTGTGTGCGCATGTGACTGTGGTGTATCTGATCTCCTGATATATGTTTTGGTTCAAAGTTGAAACTGATGCAAAAGCAAAATGTCATGGCATATGGAGGCAGGCTTGCGGATACTGGGAAGTTAAAGAGAATTCAACCACGAAGCCCCAAAGCACAAGCCTGTACTATGAAGCCACAGGAAAATCAATTTTGGGCCACAATGGTTTGGCATCCAACAGAGAACCTGCAGGAATTCCAGAGCTACAAATTTGAAGCACTGCCATTTTCCATTGAGCCCCCCCCCCCCCAACTTAAGCAAACAAAATGTACATCTACATTGACAGAAAATGTATATCATTCCACCTCTCATCTCATCTGGCAATCAGATGTAATTGACAGCACAAAAGGAAGAGATAGCGTCCAAGGCCGCACCCTACTCTTTTTTTCGAGTTGCGATTCCATGACTTCAACACCAATAGCCCATTCGAGAGTTCACCCAAGATCGTCAAACATTGGCTCTAATACCATTTGTTGGGAGAATAAGGGGCCCATTAATCCAAAGACCCAATACACATGTCTAGCACTCATACCCACCCAAAAGCTTAGGCCCACAAGTTGTGAACCAATCCACTGCATATTAGGAAACTTTTAAATTTATTTTTCTATCTGATGTGGGATTCACACACGCAATCAGTGTTTTAAAACCCAGCTCGACCCGGCAGGTTGACCCAGTGAACCGGTGGACTGGATCCTGAATGAGGTCGGTTACCATACTGGATCGTTCAAGCAACAAAATCGTCCAAAACCCAATGAACTAGGCGGTTTTTGTCCCAAACATTCAACTCGGACGATTTTTTAAAAATTGGGCAGATTAGTTAAAACCTTATAAAAGCAAATTTTTTGGGCATTTTTGCCCTAATTGTCATTTGCTCTACGCCCCTGCCTCTTGAATGCTCTCAACCTCTCAACCTCCCTCACAATCAATCATCTCTCTCTTACCCTTTCTCTGCAACTCTCTTCGTCAATCGAAAGAACTACGAAGGCAAGCGTTGTCTGATTTTGCTTCTTTGATCCAAAGCAGTCGATCATCGTCTCATCTCAATCGCTGGCTTCTTTAATTGAAAGAATAGGTTTATGATTTGCTTCACTCTCTAACCTCTACGCATTTCCTTCTCACTAGACACAATTTTCTCTCTATGTGCTATTTTAGTTGATGATATTGAATAAAACATCTTAATCTCTCTCTTTTTTGCTTATGGCTAAGGGTTTGTTTACTTTCAACCACCTATATGAGTTGGTTGTAGATAATGGAGGTTGGTACTAGTTAGGGTCATAGGCTAATGACTTTTGATTTCAAATATTTTTTGTCATTGTGTTTTGAAATTCTGTTGACAGCCTAAAAACGTCAATTTAGAACCTGTAATTTAGTTAATATCAAGTTTAAGACTATTGAATTGTTTTTATTTGCAAGCTGAGAAATTTTTTATTTAGTAAATTTGTGAGGGATCTACCTCCCCATTACCGGGGATATACCTCCCTCCAAGAGCATTTTCTCCCCATTACCGGGGATATCCCACTCTCCATCAAAGGATTTCGGCTAACCTGCGGGTCAAACCCCCACAGTAGCCTTTACCTCTGTCCCACATCGGGGAAAGAGTCGTCTCCCCACCCCCATATAAGCCGAAGCACCATATGAGAGCAGTACCCAAGTAGCACAAATTATGTGAGGGATCTACCTCCCAATTAACGGGGATATACCTCCCTCCAAGAGCATTTCTTCCCCATTACCGGGGATATCCCGCTCTCCATCAAAGGAATTCGGCTAACCTGCGGGTGAAACCCCCACAGTAGCCTTTACCTCTGTCCCACATTGGGTACTGCTCTCATATGGTGCTTCGGCTTATATGGGGGTGGGGAGACGACTCTTTCCCCGATGTGGGACAGAGGTAAAGGCTACTGTGGGGGTTTGACCCGCAGGTTAGCCGAAATCCTTTGATGGAGAGCGGAATATCCCCGGTAATGGGGAAGAAATGCTCTTGGAGGGAGGTATATCCCCGGTAATGGGGAGGTAGATCCCTCACATAATATGAGAGCAGTACCCAAGTACCACAGTGTGGTACTTGGGTACTGCTCTCATATGGTGATTCGGCTTATATGGGGGTGGGGAGACGACTCTTTCCCCGATGTGGGACAGAGGTAAAAGCTACTGTGGGGGTTTGACCCGCAGGTTAGCCGAAATCCTTTGATGGAGAGCGGGATATCCCCAGTAATGGGGAGGAAATGCTCTTGGAGGGAGGTATATCCCCGGTAATGGAGAGGTAGATCCCTCACAAAATTACACACAAGAAGGGGGATACTAGAGAGAATTGGGTTGAATGGTTGGCAACAGGCTGGTTTGAGTAGAACCAGAACTTGCATTTCCCAATTCTTTTCAATGCACTTGAATAATTTTCTATAAGAAGACTTTTGCTCTTTTTTTATCAATTTGACTTGTTGGTTTAGTTGCTATGGGAAGAAGACTTGTTAATTATAAATATTTTTTAGCATATTGTTTGTATAATGTTATTTGTATAATGTTGTTTGTATAATTATAAATATTTTCTAGCATTATTAATTATTTTTTATTTTTTTATTACATAACCGGTCACTAAACAGTGACCAATTAACCCAGTCCCTTTGCCGGGTTGATGTCCGGGTCGGGTTTTAAAACTATGCATGCAATACCCACTAAATTATATATAAACAAATACATAACATTCAAAAGATTAAATTTGTACTCAACAATCAACGCTAATACAAGATACAGTGGTAGCCTCAATATTTTCAAGTAATGAAGCAAAACCACAAATAGGAAAAAATTGTTGAAGATATCAGTAAGGGAATGTGTAGCGAGGCATAAAATTGCTTTGTATTACCTCTCCTTGAAGTTCCATAATCATCAACACTGATGTCTTGTATTGCTGGCGGAGTCCACTGCTGGGCCGGAGAGATGTCAGATGGACTACTAAAGTACTGTGCAACAACATCAGATGTCACATATTGGTGATTGGCGAAATGGCTTCCTCTCATCCAGCTCTGACTTTCTCTACTATTCGACGATGTTGAAGAACCATTCAATGGAATGCCATCAGGAGAACCAAGTGATAGCCCATCAGATTGGAAGCGGAAATCCCACCTCGATGGGGGAGGTGAGAAGCTTGAATTAGTTTGCCAGTAAGGCTCATGCGTCCCCATAGACCACTCCCTGCTGGCTGCATTGGATCCATGTGGCCTGGCAGCCACACAACAGAGCGACCCCGTTTTAGCTATCTTTCAGAGTAACTCACAAAAATCTATTACACTTGCTTCCCCAAAATATTCAGAACTTACTGAACACCAACTTAAAAAATTATTCCATTTTCCCTATGTACAACATTCTAATACATTGCACCTGCTTATGGCAAGTGGACCTAATAAAGTCCACTACTACAATACAATCTAAGCAAGAACTTGCTACCAGATCCTAAGCTTATTAGCTTCAAAAACTACAGAATCTCCATCATGATGAATCTATTCTGCAGCAGCAATGACAGAGAAAATTCTGCAGGCATTTCCTTATACATGGGCAGTAGAAAATTATTCATGAACACCACTTAGAAAAATATTAACTTTCCCGGTCCCCCTATGCTTATTATGTTCCGAGCCATGGAACGCATTCTAGATTTCACAGTAGAATCCCTGGCATCAAAAGCGCATAAACACCATTAGATATAAAATTCAGTAATTCTAACACCATATAGTGATAGATAGTCTCGGTAAAATTAAACAAGAGAGGACTCCTACATTTAGCAGTATTATAGAACGGAAAAAAGGGAGAGAGAACTAGACTAAGGGGAAAAAAAGTTAGTTATAGTTAAAAAAAAAGGGTGGTAAAATACAGCAAAGCAGACTCCAACGGGTATTGTTGACAAGCAACTAAGTTACCCTCATTTGACTAGTTAAATTTGATCAAAACTAACAACCCTTCAACAAGACACCCATCAAACCACCAAAACCATCACGTGCACCACCATCACCACCACCACCAATAGATGGAGAGAGAGGGAGAGAATTATAAAAGAGCAGCTATATGGAAAGGAGATGCAGGTGGAGGTTGGGGAGTGACAATATTGTGAGGCTACAGGGGAAAGGCGGGTTGCGAGGGTAGGGGAGACATGGTTGCAGGTGGGGGGTGAGCTGTTGGTGGCAGTGCTTGGTGCATGCGTTGTACTTGGTTTGCTATGCCGGCATGGACAACAATGTGTGGGTGTGTGTGGGTGGGTGGGGGAATGTGTGTGTGTGAGAGAGAGAGAGAGAGAATAGCATTAGAAGAAATGTTGGATGAGGGTGTTTGGCTACATTATTAATTTTTTTATTTTAGTAAGGAATCCTTTCATTTAAGGATAAATTTTATTGATCTCATTTTTCCAGTAACAGAAGTCTGACTGATGTAAGTTATCAAAAGTAAGGAGTTCCCATGCCATTGGAGTGTGTCAATGATTGCCCTTCGAAACAATTAAAGTACAGAATTTCGAGAAATTTAAAAAATCATATTGCACACTCAAATAATGTACAAAATGCCACAAAACGATCATTTGCATAAATGTAATCAAGAGGTTTTTATCTTCATTCTTCACATTTGATGAAAGGACTTTTAACAGCAAAATTTTGTACAATAAACTTATGCATACCAAATGAGTTGCCTAAATGTTGTATTCCAAATGATGTGGCAAAATCCTATGCATTTTGAATATTTAGTGGGAGTGAGTGAGACCCACTAATCCAATCACCTACACTGATTTGGTATACAAATTTTTGTAAACAATTTGGTAAGCAATTTTGCAACAGAAATAGTCAAAGCACAATCAATAATCATTATCATCAACAGCTTTTTAGTTTGAATTCAAGTAACTATTATTTTCAAACCCACCTTAGCTAAATATCCGACACCCTCAACATGTATCTATGAAAAGTACTAAGAATTAAATACCACAACAAATTTTTAAAAAAATATATCATAGTCAACTACAAGCAAAAAAAAAATGAAAGACTTGCTAAGAGTTCCAAATTTTGCTTTAAAAATTTCAAAAAAAAAGGAAAAAAAAACAATAATATACATTTGATATCACAGCTTCACAAGCAACATCGTTGAAGCAATGACAGAATACCAAAACACTAACACTAGTCACTAATCATTTCAAAGGGCAAAAGCCATGTTATATGCAAATAAATTTGTGTGCGTCTGTGCATGTAGAGAGAGAGAGAGACTGTGCTTACGATTGTATGAAAATGGGGTTGGCGAAGAGCTGAGACGGGTTGGAATTAGGAGCGAGAGAGAAGCGCAATCGGAGGCAATGTCTGCGGGAGTGAGAAACCCTAATTTGTCGGAGACGGCGCGATTATTTAAGTGATTTTTTCACTTTTATGCACTCATGTTTATTTCTTTTGTGTTTAGTTACAATTATTGAGTAAAGAGACTTTGTAATATTAAAAATCGAATATATATGATATTTAAAAAAAATTATTTTTAATTTTTCTTTAATTATGTCATTTAAATTCAGTGAATAAAAATAAAATAAGAAATGGATAGGATAAAGAGAAAGGAGGTATTGGTATGAAACGGTGGAATTGTTTGAGATTGAGAATCGGTCAATAAAAATAATATTTTTAATCTGAAAAGGAATTTTACGGGATAAATTTTTTATAATTAGATTAAAATTTAATTAATTTTAATCATTGTTATAATTTTATAAGTTAAAAATTTAACTTTTTAACTATAATATTAGATAGATTTTTGACATGAATTAACAGTTTAATAAGATACAAGATGTAAATTTGCACGTTTAACTTTAAATTTTTTTGATTGTATAAAATCTGAATTAAATCAATAAACATAATGCGTAAGTAATTAGATGCATCTAAGATTTATATAACAACTATAACTCTCCAAAAGATGCGGGGGGAATAAGTGATTTCTACCCCTCCAAAAAAAAAAAGAACAAGATTGAATAACAACTAAGTTCTCTTCGATGAATTTAACACACTGGAAAGCTGCGTATTAAAATATTAAAAAAAAAAAGAAATAGAATGTGTTTATAGAATGAAAAAGAACAAAATTGAATAATTTCTGGTTTCTTCATCATTTACAAACTTACCCCCCAAGAATTATAAATGTTCAAGAACAGCAAGCTGGTGGAACTTTTGGGGGAAATCAAGCAGATCTGCTTATAGAAATAAAGAAAATCTGTTCAATTATATGTTCGATTAACGATTGTTTTGTTTGAAACTTTTATCGTCTTACTTTAGAGCTATGAAATATGAATACGAATACGAATAAGAAATACGGATATAATATGATACGGATATGACAATACGACAAAATTTAAAAAAATAAAATACAGGTACGACCAAAATACGACTATAATAAAATATTTTTATTATTATCAAACAATTTAATACTTATATATTTTGGTAGTTATTTGATATACAATAAGGAAAATTAATAATTTTTTTAAGTTTCAAGAAAATATATATCAAATCGTTGTAGTATATTCACAAAGTGAAGTAACTAATTAAAAGAATCAAACTTAATATTTATCTAGTATTTAGAAGTAATTTTTACTAAAATGATAATTTAATAATTTTATTTTATGCTCTTTTGACATATAATTGTAGATAATACTTAAGAAACACTCATGTACCTTGAAGTAATATAAATTTTTTGTTAATGTATTATATGATATATGGATTCGAAAAGAGATGTTAAAAGTTTAACTCAAAAAATATATTTATTACCCGACCACAAAAGTATCCATGAAATATCATAATATTTAATTATTATTGGATACGTAAAAAATATATCCGATACATATCCTCAAATATCCGATGAATATCGTATCTAATACGATATTAAATACGAATACGTTAACTTCAACAAAATATCCGTGCTTCGTAACTTTAGAGTAATTCAATGTGCACCAAATGATTGTCAGCATAACGGGTCTCACTTATCCAAAGGTTGTCAATGATTCGGTGCACATAGCAGGCCTCTCCTTCCTCTATTCTTTTCCTCTGGCTTTATTTCCTGTGTTTCCTTTACTTCTTTAGTACTTTTTCCGTGTAAGTTGGCAAGTTTAGACCTGATACAAATCTATAATCCCTGCAATCCATAGGACTTATAAGCATAATATGGTATACAAGAAGATAAATTCTTCAAATTATAGGTTCAACCAGGCACTCATAATAATAAAAGAAAAAAGTTATGTCTATTAAGGAGAACCTCTGGATTTTGTCTCGTGTCGATCCGTGGGAGTTGATCCAACCATGTGGGAATATGAAGTGTCAGCAATAAGTCTACTCGGGTCCTCCTCAAGCTCGTTTAACCAACAATTGCCTAGATCATGTGAGTTTGTGTCCCGCCTTTGAGTATGCTATAGTTGCGCAATAGTTTAAAACGAATCATAACATTACTTCACTTTTGGTCCTACTTGCGAGCTATTCCATATACATGGGGATTTACCAGCGACGCAGTAGACAAGAATGCAGTGTTAATGTCGACGCTTGAAAACCCTGCTTCAGATATGCTATTCCCTGTTTTCCTGGTAAGGTGACACCCATCAGAAACTGTCCGCTGCAAAGGATTAAGAACACCCTGCACAAATCTGAGAAAGGTTCCATCTGCTCAATAACAACAGCAAGACACATGTAAGTTCAACTCCATCTGTCTCAGCAAAAATGGGAAGGAATACATTTCTGGAAAGTAGAAAGGAAGATGTTTCAACAAGGGATACATAATGAACACTTTATAGCAACTCATGAGCGAATTGAGAAACTCGGACTACCACCTTTTGCAGCCACATGTTCCACAAATATGTAAAGCCCACCAGGTTTAAGCACCCTCCTCACCTCTGAATACAATGGTAAAAGGTTGCGTTAAGCAGCTTACACTTTTGAGCTTTTTACCATTCTAATGAAAATGAAGTGCTGAAATTCAGATGTATTGGCTCATTACTTCTGGTGCTTTCTCTTTTAGCTTTTCAAATTTTAAATTTCAATCTAGATAACAGACGTGAACAGATGAAAAAACAAGGGGAAATCTAAACAAATTAAACTTTTTTTGAGAGATGTCACAAAGAATCAGTCAAGAGTTATCAGTCAAAGAGCACAGCTACACTATAAAGACGCCGGCATAATACAGCTCACAAAAGCATATAGATTCACTCACTGTTCCCAAGTTTGGAACTCACCCTAGACAATTATATTTTTGGAATTTGCTTAGAGAAATGACCTACCCCATTAGATTCCCCTCATACAATGGTCCTCCACAAATATGAGGTTCGTAGATGAACTTCAATGATTCAACAAATTAAGTTGGCAGAAGTTAAAAAGAAACTCAAAGCCACAAGAGCTACCAACCTTGCAGTGCCCCATCAACATCTTTAACAGAGCACAGTACAAGTGTTCCAACAACTGCATCAACTGAAGCATCACTTAATGGCAGAGCCTCCGCAACCTGCATAAAAGTTTATTTCGATCTACTTTTTAAGTTCTCATGCACGTATCTGGACCACTAGATAGGAACGAGTTAAAGATACCCCTGATAACCCAAATTTTGAATGTGTTGATAGAATGAAATGCTTCACAAGAAGGAAAAAGTGAATGTGTTGCTTGGTGCAGCGATAAGGTTTAGTGCACTGAGCCGCTTTTTTGGGTTAATTAAAGCACCATCTAGGAACAATTTTGACTTAAAATTCCTACTGATAACATTTCAAGGATACCTACTAACCCCAAAAAAACATTTCGAGGATACCAGTTTCATTTTCTATATTCAACAAAAATGATTGAATCATTATTGTTAAGCCATACACTTGGAACTCCCAACTAAAATTCAGTCAAATTCTAACAAATAAATTCCACTTTGCAGGCATTATACACAGATTGCGAAGTAGAAGTTCTCTCACATAAACTAAGTCAGTGATAACAGCTTAAATTCTAAGATGGTGAACTTCTCAGTTAAATTTCTCAGTCAAATAAGCTAAGGTGTAAAATATATTTGCCTATCCTCCGGTCGTGTAATGCCTCAGAAAAAGTCAAACACCCCAAGCAGTATTCTCTGTTTCCAACTATACCAGATAAACACTATATAATATTTCCCCAACCAGTGAGATAAAGATGCCCTTGCAACTTTTATTTTTCTTCAGCTTCTGGTTTCCCAGGCTTGAGAAATTGGGAATCATGAGTAAATACTGACAAATAATTACAATGAATAATGGATGATTTTAGAAGAGAGTGCCTGCCAATAAGTACGTGTTTATAAATTATAAGCATGAGAGGCAAGTTGGATGAGTGACAATACAAGAAAAGGAAGACAAGAATGGATGCCTCATTGAGATTATAGAATACCAATTGAAACACGATAAGCAAGTTATGTAAGTGGTTTAGCTACATGCACTAGGATAGAGAAGAGATACAGTTTTAGTTGAAGCCTCAAGGCTTAAAAGGACAAGGGAGAGGCCAAAAGCATACATAGAGACGGGAGTAACGCTAGTTGTACCTAATTTTGCTGAACTAATCTATATAATAAAGGATCTAACATTATTTGTCTTTAGCTTTTCGCGGCTCAAATCGTTTAAAAATTTGTCCGACGGTCGTAATACAAAATCCCCTCCCCCCAAACTTTTTGAGGGAAACTTTCATTCCTTTTACAACTCTGTCTCTATTTCATACTCTCATCTCTCAAACGTTTTAAAATTTAAACACACACATACCTATCTGATTTCTCTACTATCTCTCACACGTCTCTCTCTCACATACCTCTCTGTTCACATCCAGTCGTCTCTCTCTCACTCAGCTCTCCGATACCTCTCTATCTCTTTGCCCATTCACCCCCAATTACACGCACAAAAAAAAGCCCTAACCTGTCGTTTCTATCCCTCTTTGTCTCTACCTACTCCCCATAACAAAAACAAACCGACGCCGGTCACTGCCAAAGTCAGTAATTAGCCTTGCACTATCCGTCTGCCTCAATCATGATATTTCTCTCTCTATCCATCATATTTTTTGTGTGGTGTTTGCATTGTGTGTGTGTGTGTGCTTGAGTGTGTGTTTGTGTTTGTGTTTGTGTGTGTGTGTGTGTCAGTGTGTGTGTGTGTGTCAAGGCGTGTTCTGGGTTTCTCTGTGTGTGTGTGCACGCATACGTGTTGAGTGTGTGTTCTGGGTTTCTCCCCTTCTCCCTCTTACTGTGCGTGTGTTTTGTGTTTTCGTGTGTTTTTTATGTGAGTGTATTCGGGGCTTTGTGTTTGTGTGTGTGTGTGCGCCTTTATGTCAGTGTTGTGTGTGTGTGTGTGTGTGCGCTCTGGTTTTTTTTTTGTATGTTTCTCTGTGTGTGTTTGTGTTTCTCTGTGTGTTCGTGTCTGTGTTTGTGTTTCTGTGTGTGTTCGTGCCTGTGTTCATGTCTGTGTGTTTATGTGGGCATTGTGTGTGTTTCTATGTGTGGTTTTTAATAATGTAATTTTTTATATTTGTGGTTTTTACAATGTTTTTTCAGTTTTTTAAAGAGTCATTGAAATTTTGAGCGAGTG